AATCGAACTCATGCGGCAGCGGCTTTAGATTCTCAGTGCTGTGCTTTAACCCACTGCGCCACCAGGGAGGGCCCGAGAACCTGCTGATTTTAGGAAAGGAAATAGGGCTATTGTGACTAGAATGCAGAGAATAAGCTTCATGGGATACCTGACAGAAGGCATAGTAGATGGTGAGAATCTGTTTTGGTCAGAAGAGACAAAATAATAAACAGTGCTGTGCTTATAGTTATACTGCATTCCCTTTTAAACTTCAAGCTCCTTGTTTGCTATAAAATAAAAATACAGTTTTTCTGTAACTGAAATACGGCATTAAGGACTAAGTAAATGTATTCAGGTTGACATAATGCACATCTGAATCTACATCATGAAGCTGTATGATCTATCTCAGATCTTTATTTGGAAACTAAATCTGCCAGGCTTCCATGTCAGTGGAGGTCTCTGTCATTTTAATTCAAAGAAACATACATATGTAGTGCTTGGAAGCATTTAACCCCTTTACTGTTAATTTTATTTATATATATTAGCTTTGTACAAGTGTGTGAGTAACTTTAGAAACTTGCACTTTTAGATTGCATCTGTTGCTTGTGTTAATGTCTTAAAATAGTAGTAACTATGGAAGGATTGTGTCCATTACCTTTCATTTTCCTAAGGGGTAGGAGATTAGGGGAGGAAATTCAGCTGTACTTTTTCAAACTATGTAAAGGTCTCTAACAAAATTAATTGACCAAAATTATTAACTACAGATTGGACACTTTTTCCTTATCAATTTTATGGACATTGAGGGTAAATGTGCAAGAAAGAGTTGATCCAGAGTGTTTTTAACATAGGATGAGACCTCTAAAATCCTGTAAACCCAAGAATGTGGCATTTCTCTATACACTGTCAAAACTGTAATGCCCTATTGAGTAAATATAATTCTGATGCCGGAAGACATTGATCTTGGTGACTGAGATACTTGTCAGAAATAAAACCAGCAATTGGCAAATGTGGTGGTACCAAATGATAGGTCAGAACTTTGAAAATACTATCACTTTATTTTGCCTGGAAAGGGCCCCAAAGATTTCTTCTAAGATTAGATAACTTATCTTTTATAATGACTCACTCACTTTAAATATATTTGTATGTTTGTGTTTTCTTTTTGACTTCAGGGATCACTGGTAATGTTCAGATTTATTAGTGATTAAAAAATAATATTTGTTTTAATGGACATTTCTTTTTTATTTTTTGTTTACTTTGCAGCTTTGATTAGTTTGTCCTTTGGAGGAGCGATTGGGCTGATGTTTCTGATGCTTGGATGTGCCCTTCCAAAATACAAGTATGGAATTTTTTTGGGTTTTTTGACAGTTAAAGGGTAAAATTGTTCTACACTTTTACTGTTGTAGAAGTATCCCTAAGAGATGTTCATATATTTTTAAAAATATCTTCACTTGAAATTGGTAGATTTTAGGATGACAAGGTGTAGAAAAAATTTGGTTGGTGTTCCTTGACTACTACCTGGTCACTGATGGCAGATAGCTACCCAGTAGACCAGTGCTACTGCTCCATTTTGAGCACCTACTAATAAAATTAAATACAAAATAATTAAACTGTCTTTTCAGAAAAATGCCATAAACAGTCAGGAGACTAGTTAGGGAAAAAAAAAAAGAGTAATTATTATTTAATAATAATTATTATTATCAAGTAATTATTATTTTTCTTAGAATAGAAAAAACATGAAAATTAACAGGACACATTTGTAAGAAAAACATAGACGACCCAATAGAAAACTGAACAAGTAAAAAATTGTAAATCGCTAATAAGTGCATGAATATGTTTTCAGCTTCACAAATTACATATTTTGGCAAAAATATATAATATGCTCTGTCATGTACTATGGGTAGAAGAACAAGTAAGAACAATCTTCTGGAAGACTGCTATATACTTTACCTGTATGGAAATGTGGCAGGACCCAAGGAACCCCAGTAGGAGAGTGGGAAAGAGAAAGCAGAGGAGACATGGGCAATTTAGAACTCACTTTTTATGCTCTGGTACTTTTAAAATTATTCTTAAGCATTGTGATTTTTTTAACTATTTATTTATGCATACAGAACTGGGGTACAGGCAAGAGGTACAGGGGGTGAGAGGATTCACCAGAGGCAGAGTGGGGAGCAGAGTAGGCAGGTCAGTGAAGTACACTGCTGAGGGGAGCAGTGGGCGAGACAGGAGAGGTCTGCCACGCCATGTGGGTCAGCTACAGAGCCAGGGATGGAACTCGCACTGAAGCAGCTGTGGCTAGCTCACAGTGCTGCGTCCTAACCCTTGCGCCACCAGGGAGGGTCTAGCATTGTGATTTTTTTTATTAAATCTCAAAATATCTAAGAAAGGATAAGTCTTTGTCAATAATTCACTCTCAGAACTGAGCACATCAGTTCACCCAGTGCTAAAAAACCACAGATTTAGCTTAAACAAATCAGAGCTTGGAAGACCTCATGCAGTCTTCTGAGTATAGGCAGAGCCCAGGAGTAGAGTATTCCATTGTGATGGGTGTTTTTATTTTATGACCACCTATTTTCATTTTAACTTTTTCTTTTAAAATGACTAGACTCTCTCTCAATTGCAAAAATAGTGCAAAGCAGTCCCCTATACCCTTTACATAGCTCCCCCTTATGGTAATATCTTCCATAACATTATTAAAGGAGAAAATGCCTGTATTGTTTTTTTTTGTTTTTTTTTAAAGATTGAAAATGCCTGTATTGTAACAGTTAGCTAGACTGTAAACTAAAAGTCGTCTGTTTTTGTGATGATAACTATGATATTCTAGCTGAAAGTCTTCAATCTTAATTTTAGTTCATTTTCTATATTTTGATTTAAGTGTATTGGGTTTTCCTAATGACCTAAGTGAAGTTGGGGATATTTCAGTTTGATGCTAAGGCTGTCTGTCATACATTAGTAGTCAAAGGAATAAATCTTAATTTCAAAATTTACTCTGGTAATATTCCCAGATGTCTCTGTTCATAACCTAAAATATTTTTTTAAATGATTTTTGGGTTTTTATTCCAGCTGTTGCAATGTATAAAGCATTTTCGTTTAAAAGTAAGACATATTTAACTATTGTGTCCTAATTGAATAGTGTGACTCTAAATGTTTCTCTTTACAGTCTTCAAGTTACTGTTTATTTTAAAATTGTATAATGCTTTGTACCTTGCAATATTCCTATGATCCTTATTAAGAAAAAGCATATTTAGTGTGTAGGAAAATTACATATATAGCAAAAACTACATTAACTTATTTTTCTTTTTCTAGCCAATACTGGCCCCTGTTTGTTCTCTTTTTTTACATCCTTTCACCTATTCCATACTGCATAGCAAGAAGATTAGTGGACGATACAGATGCTATGAGTAATGCATGTAAGGAACTGGCCATATTTCTTACAACGGGCATTGTTGTGTCAGCTTTTGGACTCCCGATTGTATTTGCCAGAGCACATCTGGTAAGTGACTATATTCTTCTATTTATGATTTTAAATTAGCCTGTGCTAAATTTTTCTCAGGAAAAAATTTTTGTTGAATGACATTCAAAGAGAGATGAGACCTAGGGCCTGAAGGACAAAAATTAAAACCTTGCCTTTGTTGTTGCTGTTAACTGATTAAAATGACCTTGAAGAGCATGGCTCAAAGCACAAGCTACAGTTGACTTGCCAGTACTTCACTCTCAGAACTAGGCATGTTAGCTCACAGTGCTAAATAACCACAGACCTGCCCTAAACAACTGAAAACTTAAAAGACTTCAGGAGATCTTGTGTTCTCTGCAGATAGGAGTGTTCAAAAGAGGAGAAGGGGGTAGTAATTAATACATATTATGTGTACTCACCTTCCTCCCAAACTCACCAGTCAGATGCACTCCTGGTCTCCTGGAGTAGAGAAGGAAAATGAAAGGAGCACGTAACTCCCCTGTTCCTTTAAGATGTATATGCGTGGTCTTTATAAGTAGAAAATTTAGAATTCTGGGCTGCTTCTTCATAGCCCAGCAGTCAAGATTGCTTTGACTTTGTCTTTAAAGAAACCAAAGAGAAATAAAAGTATAGAAGTACCTCCAAGTATGTATGAAAGTCATTTCAAATCTTATGTGTTTTAGATCATGATTGGCATACAACTGTATTACTGGCTAAAGTAAATCTTTTCTCTTATTCCAGAAGGTTGTAAAATTAAGTTTTGTATTCAGCACAATACAATTTGTGCTTGCTTTGCTTTTCATTTTCTTTTTGTTTTTCATATGCCTATTAACTAAGTATTTATATCTTATTTCCATAGATTGAGTGGGGAGCTTGTGCACTTGTTCTCACAGGAAACACAGTCATCTTTGCGACTATACTAGGCTTTTTCTTGGTCTTTGGAAATAATGATGACTTCAGCTGGCAGCAGTGGTGAAAAGAATTTCTGAACCATTGTCAAGTGGACTTCTTGTCATTTGTTGGTCATCCATGCACACAGGAGATGGGGCAGTAATGCTGAATGGTATAGCAAGCTCTTGGGGGTATTCTAGGTGCTCCCTTCTCACTTTTATTGTAAGCATACTATTTTCACAGAGACTTGCTGAAGGATTAAAAGGATTTTCTCTTTTGGAAAAGCTTGATTGATTTCACACTTAATATTGTATGCTGTTTGTGGTGTCCTGCTGAACTCAAGTATTTGTGTTTTCCCTTTCAGTATTTTTTTTTTTAACCAATATGCAATGTTAAACATTTTTTTAAATGTAATAACCATTTGCATTGGTTAAGAATTCAGAATTCTGGCTGTATTACTGGGCTGAATTACATCTTTTCTCTTAAAATAATTTATAAACACCATTATTTCAAAAAGTTCTAAAAATAAGTTTTCAATCAGTCAGGATTACATCACTCCCAATTTTATGCAAACATGCAGACCTTATAGATTATATACTCAGAGCAAATATAGCTGCATTTATACCTCAGAGGGGCCAAGTATTAATGCCCGTGCCCTCCATAAAGGGTTGCTGGTTTTGCCAGTAAGCAGGTGTTTTGTGTATTGAAAATTATTTTATGTGATTGTTATAAAGAAGTGCTTTTCTTCTCAATTGTTAGAATTTATTATTAAACCTAAGGGTATAAAAACTGATTTTGAAATACAGTTTTTATTTATGTTTATTATAATTAGAGTGAGTTGCATTGTAGAAAGAAACTATTGAAATTCCATTTTTTGAATCCTGTATCTATTTATAAGTGAAGTGAAACTTGATCTTCTATCAGTCTTTCATGTTTGCCATGGATAAAATGGGCATACATGGAACTACTACTGATAATGGACAGTTGTATGTTCGTATCACATAATGCCAGAAAGTCCTTTCCCTGCTTCCTTCTTTTAACTTATTTTATATGTTACATATGTTAAGTAAAATAACTTCTCAAATATAGTTTAATACACTTTAAATTAGAAGTGTTTAACTTACCTGGAGAGTAATTGCAATATGTTCAGAATGCCCCTACCCCAAAAAGCCTTGAAGTGATTAACAAGTGACTTGTTAGTCTTGCAGATAATTCACGCATTAACAATTAAGATTTAGACCATGGTAACTATAGTTCTTAATCTCTAAGGTTATATCATATGTAATTTTAAATATTTAAGACAAATTTCCTGGACAGTTCTCCACTGTTGATTTTGATTTCATTATGATAGAGCAGCTGTTTCCTTTTAAATGGCATTTATTGTGTGAATTAATGCAAAGTAGCCAAATCCAGCTGCATAGCAGCTTCATATACAAACCTGACCAAAAATCCCCAGTAACCAGGCATTGTCAAACTGTAGTGTTCATTTCCTTTTTAAAATTATCAGTGCTTTTTTCAGGAGCTAGTTATGAAAATATTCAAGTTGGTCTGAGAGTTAAGGATATTTGTGTGTGTGTTTAGTATACTTACATAAAAATTGTTTTGCCTTCAGACAAAACTGAGTAATCATGACAGCTATCTTTTATTATTTTATAAAGTTTATTTCTTAAGAAAATGGGAACAAATTCTGGGTTTGTTGAGCTTTTTACTAAAGATACCTAAAAGCCACAAGTTTTATTGTTCATCGTACTTGTTAGTTTTAGCTGTGAGATGGGAAGCAGAATAAAATCTCTGCATGTGGCTATACCATGTTACACATTAGGCTGGCAATGGCTTACATGTTATAATGTTACAGACTTAAAGAAGGTACAGGGACAAATGAATTAAACAGCTGGCGATACAGCTGGGGACTCTGTGCCTGTGGTCTACTCCATATTTTTCTTGCAGAAAGTACATGCTTTGGTCCTTTGCTGCTTTCTGTTCTAGAATGTCAGTGCAGTGCACTGCTACTGTTTTATTCACTTGGCCATAGACCCTTTTTGGAACAGCTGCATATTCTTTCTGTATACTAACTGCATTGGCAGCATTGTGTCTTTAGCCTTGCACACTAGCTTGACATAGTGCTGTCTTGGATTTTTAGGCTAGTTATTTGAGGTATGAACTTTCCATAGACCATGCACTGATACTGCATTGCCATTCTTCTATGGAAAGAAAACTTTTGATGATGAAACAATAAAGATTTTAAATATCTATTTTAGTTTGTGGCTGTTTTTGAAATGAAAATGTATTACTTCAGTTCCTGAAGTGCATTAACCATTTTAATGATGTAAGAGAAAGCAAGAGTGACATTAGTTATTATTTTTGACTTGAAGACATTTACTTATATAAAATAAAGTTAAAACCATAGAAGCAAATATTATAATGAAATCCTATGATTTTTCAACTAGCATAAGACCATTAATTATATTGGGCAGTAGAATTTTTACTTAACCTTTTACAAAAACAGATTTTGTGGACATAAAGAAGACTAGTGATATCAAAGTAAAAATTCTACTTGTTCTTAAATTTTCCGTTATTTTTATGATTGCATGTCTTATTATATATTCATTACCATTAATTTTTAAGTATTTTACCCTCTACAAACACTTCACATAGTTAAAGGTAAAACAATATCTTGTAGTACAGTGTAAGCAAAGAATACTGTTCTCTGTGGTCAGACATGTCCCCGCCTTGTCAATGGCTTACATGTTATAATGTTACAGACTTAAAGAAGGTACTTTACAACTTCATACACTCCAAAAAGTTTAGATGAGGGCTTCTAAAGGGGTAGCACAAAGGGTTAAGTCTCAGCAGTATGAAACTATCTGCAGCCACTGCGGAACATCAGTCCCCAGCCAGGGAGCTGACCCACATGGTACCTGCTGCTCCCCTCAGCTGTGAACTTAAGTCAATCTGCCTGTTCTGCACACCATTCTCTCTGGTAAATCCTCTCACCCCCCCACGCACCCACCACATCTCTGACCTACACTGCAGTTTTTATGTGCATAATTAAATAAATATTTTTTAAAAAAACATTTAGATCATAGGTTCTTAGTGATGAAAGAAAAGAATAGGAAATCTAAAGGAGACATCAAAAGGTTAAAACCTGACTCATAAGGAGGTGGGGCAGAAGGAACTAACATGACCATTAACCCAGTCACAGAGACTCCTACATCAGACTGCTATAGAGAATACTGGAAGCATAAACCTAAGGGTAAAGATACAGAGATTGGGCATTGTGAGATTCCACAGTAACCCAAAATCAGCAGCAAACAGGCCATCCACAAAGGAGTGAGCCCCTCCCATACATAAAAGTACTATATCAGTACAGTCTGCATTGGCTCAGGGCTGCAGTCCTCTGCCCACCTGTGCCTATGCAGGCACTTCTTGCCACCCACTCTCTCCCTCTGCAGAGCAGCAGTGTCCTGCCTGTCTGATCTGTACCATGCTGGGCTTCTCTACACTGACCTCCCTCAGTGGAGGCAGCTCTCCTACGGCAGCCAGACTGCAACCACGCAGGCCTCTCAGCAAACGTGTTGCTCTGGGAACTTAACACATGCCACTGAAAGGGGAGCTCGGGTGAAACCTTTCCCAGAGTGAGCCCAAGAACCTCGAACTCCAAAAAACAACATCACTAGTGTCCTAATAAGGTTTTAGGTGCATTGTCCCCAGAAAGTAAACTCTTGGGTATTAATCTTAAATGACCAGACTCGTTAAGCTTCAGATAATTTAAAATCAGTGCATCAAATTAAACCTGCAGATATGCAGCCTTTAACACTGTTAAAGTGAGTCCTAATGCAAGATAGGAATAAAAGTAGTTTCAGGACCGTGCAGGCAGTGACTTAAGGAGCCTTAAGGAAGGCTCCAGAGACAAAGGCAACAAATTCCAAAGGGGCATAATAAAACACCCCAGGCCTAGAGACAACAGGACTTTCTGGAACAAGGATGACCAAAGTATGCTAAGATTAGGGCTGGGACACAAAGACTTAGTGCTGGGTGCAGAGACATAAAGGCAGACTGAGTGAGGCCTCTGAGAGCTAAGGGATCACAGAGACTGGTAGAGCTTTAGAATAATCAGGGAGACAAAGTCTATATTCCCAAAGGCACAACTCCACTTGGGTTTCCTTCCCCCTCTGGCCTGGTTCCACCAGCCTGAAGGTCCCACTTTATTTGTTTCTTAATAAATTTTCTTTCTCTAAACAAATTTGCCTCTTTTTGCTTGCATGCCTGTGCCTCAGTGAAGTATGTGCTGAGGCTTTGTGAGTCACCAACACATGGTGGTTTAGTGGCTGGGACTCTGCTGCTACCGCAGTCTTGCATCCACTACTGGCTGGGAGAATAGACCTGAAAACCTAAATTTATAGCATCAAAAAGATAAGTACATTTTAGATTGCAAAATTCTGTGTGATGCATAAAATCGGTGGAAAAGTCAACTTGGAATTCCTCATAAGCCTGCATAGTTTCTTCTCTCAGTGAAGCTTAGGAAATTTACAGTGGAGCTCCTTAATTTTCTGGCATTTCTGGAAAAGATAATATAGTCTATAAAATAAACATTCCAGATAACTGATGCTTTACCCAAAAAAAAAAAAAAAGCTGCTACTTGCTTTGCTTTAGCCATATTAATGAAAAATACTAAATACTTAAGTATCTTGTATTTCCTTAGAATATATTGATATGTTGGGCCCTCCCTGGTGGCTCAGCGGGTTAACGTGCAGCACTGCTAAAACTAGCTGCAGCCACTTCAGTGCCAGTTCAATCCCTAGGCAAGGAGGTGACCCACATGGCCCTGTCCTGCCTGCTGCTCCCCTCAGCAGTGTACTTCATCGATCTGCCTTTTCTGCTCCCCTCTCTGTCTCTGGTGAATCCTCTCACCACCCCCTGTACCTCTGGCCTGTACCCCATAAGTAAATCTTAAAAAAAAAAGAATTCTCTAAAAAAAAGAATATACTGATAATATACTGATGCAATTTGAATTTTTTTCTTGGTAATTTAAGGTTACCATAAAAGGTTACCATGAAGACTTGTATTTTTCTCAAATTGGGTTTTTGCTGCCTTTCTTACAACTGAGTGTTCCTTAAATTCTTTTGTTTCTAATTTTCTAATCTATAATAGGAAGAATGTAAAGTTTTCAGGGGGAAAGAATGAAACAACCAAGTTACTAAATCAGTTAGACAAGCTTTCTGTACACAGTATATATCAGTGATTTTTTTATGTCATTTTTTGAGTTCGGGGGCCTTGGGTTCACTCTAAGAAAGGTTTCACCAAAGCTACCCCTTTCAGCAGCATATGGCAAGATTCTTCACGAGACAGATTCAGTTATATTTAAAGAGGCAGTTTATTAGAGACAGGAGAGGAAAAGACACTTGGATAGGTGTAAGTGGGCAGGAAGAACTGCCCCGAAAGGGACGGGTTTGCAGGGACAGAGACCTGCATGGTTGCAGGCAGACGGTCTTAGGAAAGCGGCCTAAGTGTAGCAAAGTCACGGCATGGTACAGGTCATGGGCAGGCAGAAAGCTGCTGCCTTGCAGAGGGAGAGAGTGGGTGGAAAGAAGCACCTGCATAGGCACAGGTAGTGTAGCAGGGCGGTCCCTAGGAAAAAGGGAAGTTCCAGGTTCCCTGCCCCAC